ATATTGGGAAGAGTAACAAGTCTACAACTGTCAAAAATCCATTGTCCATCAACAGTATAAACATATGCTAGAAACTTTTGAACTTCCCTTCTTCACGAGCTGTAGTGATTGTAATTATCCCACCTGCATCCATCCCAATTCTTCTGGGATGTTCACCTAACACCTGATCAACCCACTTGGACATATCAGGTGTCTACCAGGTACTTAACAGAAGTATCATTGAGGTTCTTGGTCTTTCACATTCATACCACAGTGAGAACACAATTAAGAACAATATGGTACTACTTTGAGAATTCAAATAAAGAAAAAGGATAGGAGTTTAGTGGATGAAGACAGACTTGAATTTGTTCTTGAAGGACAGGGTAGATTCAGACGAGTAGGCGGGAAAAGAGGGGAAAAAAAGGAAAGAAATTAGTGGCAGGGAGAAAAGCGTTCAGATAAAGACCTACAGAGACAAGAACAGAGGTATTAGTACATCCCCACCTTTCCTTTTCCCAGAACCATCCATCTTACGTCCGGGGAAACAGACTCAGCTTGAGCACACAGGTTCTAGTTACAATATTAACCATGGCCAACTAATACTATCAATATTAAACACAGCTTACATCAAGTTGAAACCAAACTATGCCTTCCTTCCAGTAAAAAAATAATAAAGGGAACATCTAAAAGAGCAAAGGAAGGTCTTGTGATAGGAGAGGCGTCTTTTGTTAGACTGTTAGGAAGTCTCACTTTTCACACCCTTGTGAAATAGAAAGTTGGCAGGCCAGAAGCAAAATCCCCCTGAGTGAAAACGTGATGTGATTCAGGCCTTCTAGAGCAATAGTTAACCTTAGCCACCCATAAATTTGTAAAACTCCCTATGTTGAGACCACAGCAAGAGGGATGACATCAGAATCTCTGCGGTGGGACCCAGGGGATCCCAAAGCCGATGACACATGAGTCCTGACCACATTGTTTGTGGCAACTTACCTCAGGCTCCTCAGGATAAGTAGATTGTGATAAAGTGCAAACTCATTTCTTAATGATGTTGGCTCTCAAATTTTAGGGAGATACAGCTCGGCACTTGTCAAAACGTGGACCAGCAGGCCCCATCCCCCGCAAAATGTAGATTCAGCAGATCTGACTGTGGTTTGGTAACGTGCATTTTAAATAACCCCTCCCCCAGGTGATTCTGATCCAGGTGATTCTAGGACTGTATTTTCTCCTGCCCTATGAACTCTCTCCCAAGCAAACCCATAAGCTTCAGATTTAGTTTTCTAAGATGTTGGCAGCTTTTGCCAGCCAGCTTTGGAAGAATGTCTGAGATGCTTCCACCTTGGTCATGATTGTCTTTCCCCAGAAGCATTCAACGTTCATACCAAAAAGGGAAAATTTGAGAGATGCTATTAGAAACTGAGTATTTCCCCCCAAAGTTCATATGTTGACATACTAATCCCCGAGGTGATAATATTTGGAAGTGGCTTCACTACCTTTGAGAGGTAATTAGGTTTAGATGAGGTGATGAGTCTGGGAGCCACATGACATTACTTACCTTATATGAAAAGGAAGAGAGCCCAGAGTGCTGCTTCTTTCTGCCACATGAGGACACAGCAAGAAGGCGGCCAACTGCCAGCCAAGAAGACAGCTCACACCAACAACCAAATCTGCCAGAACCTTGACCTTAGCCTTCCCAGCCTCCAGAACTGTGAGAAATAAATGTCTGTTATTTAAACCACCAGTCTGTGGGACTTTGTTATAGCAGCCCAAGCTAAGATGCCACAGTACCACACTGAAGAGTGTAGATCTGCTCTGAGAAGTAGCCTAAAAATACATCCCCACCTTTCCTTTTCCCAGAAGCATCCATCTTACGTCCGGGGAAACAGACTCAGCTTGAGCACACAGGTTCTAGTTACAATATTAACCATCTAGGACCTCGGCTTGTTTCTTCACTAGAACTAAATCTGACCATTTTAAGATCTGGTTTGTAAATACAAAAGGCGGGGATCTTTGACTTTCACAGATGGAAGAGCAGAGTGCAGCAGTTGTAGCAGGGCTCTGGTTAACTGGAACCAGCTGTGATAGGTTTGGGCCGCTCAGGCAGGCCCCCCACGTAAGGCAATGAGCAAAGGATGCCTCCACCAACCAATTCAACAAAGCCTTCCTGAGCATTTGCCGCAGGCTGGGCTCCCAGCACTGAACAAAACTGGCCATGCTCTCCCTCCGTTTTGAAGGGAAAGATGGAAGGATAATAGACACTGGGAATTGGGGAAAGAGAGATCTGGAGGAAGGAAGTGGCTATTTCGGACAGCTGGCCAGGTGAAAGGCTTCTGGGGAGACTGATATTTAAGCTAAGACCTGAATGTCAAGAAGGAGCCAAGCATGTAAAGATCCAGGGGAAGAACAGTAGATGCAAATCGCTGAGACTGAAAGCAGCTTGGCAGGTTTAAGGGACAAGGAAAGATGCCAGTGTGGCTGGAACAAGTGAACAAGAGGGAGGAGGAACTGGAAAGGCCAACAGGATCCCGACGAGGCACAGCACCACCGTTGCTCTGGTGGTAGAGAACAGTCCTGCCATTAACACTCCCAGTGACAGATGACTGGTTTTGCGGGTGATTGCAGGCTCAGGCTTACACGCTGATACAACGAGTAACTTCCGTCTGTCAGGAGAGGATTTCAAGCTTGGGAAGCCATGCCCTCCCTGACACCCTCCTCTCCTTGCTCAGGACGCCTGAAATTAGCTCAAAAAGGCAGAATCAATGCTCTGGCCTTGAAGGCGGACAATCCGGGTTTTAGTTTCACCTTTGCCACCTTTTAGCTGGCAAGTTATTTAAACAACCTGAGCCTCGTTTTCCACATCTGTAAAGTGGGGATAACAAATACCTTACTCATTAGGTTGTGGGCATTCTGTGAGATAATGTATGTAAATCACTGAGTACAGCTGCTGACACATAATAGTGTTATTCCTATCCAAGAAGCTTCATTTCAGTTTCTCTAATTTAAGACATTGATACAAATCGAACAGAAAATCTCCCTGGAGTAGTCACACTGTAAGTTAGTATTAGTCATTTGCACTTTAGTGTGAATGAGTCTGCAATTCTTTCTCCAAAGCCCCAGAAAGTTGGATTTGAGTGGAGAGGTGGAGAGGTTTTTTTTTGTGGGGGGGTTGGCAGGAGAGAACTTCTAGATTTCAGAGGAACCAAAGGAAAAGCAGAGACTAGATGGGGGAGGAGTGCTATAGCCTCTGAAATCTTCACAGTGTTTCAATTCTCTAGAAACTATTAATACAGGGAAAGAATCAAGCCTTTATTCTGCTTTTCCTGTACACACTGCATTTCAGGGTAACCAAACATTGATGAGAGAAGTTTCTCTTTATAAAAAGCATTCTAGGGGCACCTGGGTAGCTCAGTCAGGTAAGCATCCAACTCTTGATTTCAGCTCAGGTCATGATCTCAGGATTGTGAGATCGAGCCCCTATATACTCAGTATGGAGCCTGCTTAAGATCTCTCTCTCGGGGCACCTGGGTGGCTCAGCCGTTAAGCATCTGCCTTTGGCTCAGGTCATGACCTCAGGGTCCTAGGATCGAGCCCCGCATCGAGCCCCGCATCGAGCCCCGCATCGGGCTCCCTGCTTGGTGGGAAGCCTGCTTCTCCCTCTCCTACTCCCCCCGCTTGTGTTCCCTCTCTCGCTGTCTCTCTCTGTGTCAAATAAAATTTTAAAAATCTTTAAAAAAAAAATCTCTCCCCCTCCCTCTCCCCCACTCTAAAAAGTAAAATAAAATTTTAAAAAGCATTCTAGCTAAGCTTTTAAGAAGCAATGATAGAGGGGCACCTGGGTGACTCAGTCACTTAACCTTCTGCATTTGGTTCAGGTCATGATCCTGGCGTTCTGTGATCAAGCCCCATGTTGGGCTCCCTGTTCAGCAGAGAGTCGGCTTCTCCCTCTCCCTCTGCTCCTTCCCCCACCCCCCACCCCCGCTTGTGCTCTCGCTCTTTTGCGCGCTCTTTCAAAATAAAATCTTTTAAAAATAAAAAAGCAATGATAAAATATTACCATTCGGCAACATAATGAGCTAATAGATGGAGGTCACAATTGTCAAGGGTTGCTTACACCACAAAGCGAGAAAACCAAGCATTTTGCATCTCCTGATAGAAGTGTAGCACCACCACCTGTGAAGCATTTCAGCCTGAAACTCAAGCCTAAATCTTTGATTGAGAAGAACAATTTTATTTTATTTTATTTTGTTTCTGAACTCTAAATTCTTTTTTTAATTAAGTTTTTAAATTTTAATTCCAGTATAGTTAACATACAGTGTTATATTAGTTTCAGGTGTACAATGTAATGATTCAACAATTCCATACATTACTCAGTGCTCACCATGATAACAATCTTAAAGAATATTGTTCACTAGGAAATTTAACTCACATCATGACAATGAGCTGTCTTTGAGATTTAATTTCATAACCCTCTTCTTGTCAAGCTTTAAATAACACTGAAATTCTCAACATACTTTTAAGGTGATTTCTTATATCAATTGTGTATTCATAGAATTCAGAAGCATATATATGTGTATATATCTTTTTTTTTATTCTTATGTTAATCCCCATACATTACATCATTAGTTTTAGATGAAGTGTTCCATGATTCATTGTTTGTGCATAACACCCAGTGCTCCATGAAGAACGTGCCCTCCTCAATACCCACCACCAGGCTAACCCATCCTCCCACCCCCTCCCCTCTAGAACCCTGTTTGTTTTTCAGAGTCCATCGTCTCTCATGGTTCGTCTACCCCTCCGATTTCCCCCGCTTCATTCTTCCCCTCCTGCTACCTTCTTCTTCTTCTTCTCTTTTTTTTCTTAACATATATTGCATTATTTGTTTCAGAGGTACAGATCTGAGATTCAACAGTCTTGCACAATTCACAGTGCTTACCAGAGCACATACCCTCCCCAATGTCTATCACCCAGTCACCCCATCCCTCCCACCCCACCCCCCACTCCAACAACACTCAGTTTGTTTCCTGCGATTAAGAATTCCTCATATCAGTGAGATCATATGATACATGTCTTTCTCTGTTTGACTTATTTCACTCAACATAATACCCTCCAGTTCCATCCACGTCGTTGCAAATGGCAAGATCTCATTCCTTTTGATGGCTGCATAATACTCCATCGTATATATATACCACATCTTCTTTATCCATTCATCTGTCGATGGACATCTTGGCTCTTTCCACAGTTTGGCTATTGTGGACATTGCTGCTATAAACATCGGGGTGCACATACCCCTTCTGGTCCCTACTTTTGTATCTTTGGGGTAAATACCCAGTAGTCCAAGCCTAAATCTTTAGATGGAACTACCGAGAACAGAGGAACATGCTCAATATCAAGAGGAAACAATCAGCAAAATCCAGACCATTAGGAAATCTCTTGGATAAATCACTCGGTTTCTTCAACAAATACATTGCAAGGAAAAATAAGAGTGTGAGGGGAAACCTGTAGATTAAAAAAAATATTTAAGAGGTACCCCGACCAATCACAAAATATGGACCTATCAAAAGAGCCTAACTCAATTATAAAATTAAAAGCTTATGATAAACAGTAAAACTTGACTGGATATTTGATAATATTAAGGAATTACTACTAAATGTTTACGTGTGATGATGTATTGTGGTTACTTTTTAAAGAGTCCTTATCCTTTAGAAATACACTGAAATACATATTTACATATATCTGTTTATAGAGATTTATATATATTTACATGTAAAAAATATATAATACCTGGGATTTGTTTCAAATTAATCTGATAGGGAGATGGGGGTGTTTTTAATAATAAGACATAAGAACTAAAAAATCAGAAATATCTTAAAATAACTTTATAGTTTTCCTTAAGATTAGTGCTTCCACACACACTTCACTGTTTACCAAGGGCTCCATGAGTTGGAGGCATTAATAGACTTTGACATGAGGCATGATAATAACAATAATGATGAGTAACATTTAACCTATATGTTGGACTAAAGCCAGCCCAGAAATATGCTCAGCCAGAAAGCTAGTGCAATCACACCGAAAAAGCCAGAGAGAGGAGTCACTCACCCTGAGTTCCTGGGATTACTGTCTCCCCCCAGTTCACAGTGAGCTACTGAAGACAGGGAGCCAGGTTGTATTCACCTTCTTATTCCTGGTTTTAGCATGAAGTCTGTTACCCAGCAGCAGCCCAGATGAGGAGGGAGTGGGGAGGGAGGGATTCTGATATCTAGAGCAGGGAGAAGAAAGTGGAGGTCACTGTGCTTGCACTTGGCTGGAAGCAGTGAAAGGTACAAAGACTCCACTCAATCCACCTGAAGCCAAAATGATAACACAAGAAAACTAAAAGAGACAGTCAATAACCAGGGATGTGGTTCGTGACTTTAAACTGCGGTAGTCTCTCCTCCGCTCAGTGAGTCTGGAAACTAAAGCGCCTTGAAGGAAACCTCACCTTCACCCACAGGGGCCAGCAGAGAGCTGGTCCTAAGAGAAGCTGAAACCACATCCGCAAGGTGGGGCCTCCACACTTCCTGCTGAGAACTTCCACACTTTGTATCAGTGTTTAGCTCTCTTATACATTTAGCAAGAAATGTATAAGGAGCTTTTTGGAGGAAGGTTGGGAAGCAGGAAATTGGTCAGCAGTGTGGGAGGAATAAAAATTACTGGGACAAAGTGACAGAGGAAAAGGTATAGAGTGTGGAAAGTTTTTCATATAAACATCCTGATACATTTCGGCACTTAAACAACCTGCACTTATCCAAGCCTCATTTCCAGATCGTTCTGCAAATTTCCCCCCCTTAGTGTATGCACACAGCCACGTAGTACATTTCAAAGCCTGGTTCCCAGCGCCTCCACAATTCAGTAAAGTAAAATCACCTGAAAGCTTTTTTTTTTTAAGATTTTATTTATTTATTTGACAGAGGGAGACACAGCGAGAGAGGGAACACAAGCAGAGGGAGTGGGAGAAGCAGGCTTCCTGCTGAGCAGGGAGCCCCATGCGGGACTCGACCCCAGGACCCTGGGACCATGACCTGAGCCGAAGGCAGATGCTTAACGACTGAGCCACCCAGGCGCCCACCTGAAAGCTTTTTAAGAGTCAGTGTATCTCACTGTCATTCTCCTCCCTGGATTCCTTGATGGTTTTCTCCAACCAAGCCCATGAGCAGCAAAAAGAGCCTTTGATGAAACACCAAGATCTTGGGAAGAAATCAAAGCTGATTGGGCTAAACACAGAGGTGTTTAAGCCTAGATTTTCCTGCAGCTTGCTTCTAAGCCCTGCTTAACGCCCCAGGCTGACAGGCAGCTGGCTCTACTACTCAGGGAAGGTCTTGCTGGCCTTCCAAAGATCTTGAACAACACTGCTAAACACCATCTGCAGAGATGTACTTTCCCTGCCATGCAGGTGCACAGCCTCCGTCCCTTCTGATCACAATAGTGTTCGATGGGAACTTGAGGAAGAGACTCGCCCTCCCTGATTTTTCTCTTTCCTTTTGCCTTCATTGCATATCCCGCAGCCTGGCAGAGGCATAAGGATCAGCTCCTCCTCTTTCCCCACAACACACATAATTTTTAGGCTCTGTCTTTAAGAATTCACTGCTATCTCATGACAAAAGTCTCCCATGACCCTCTCCCAAAGTTGTTAGTCTTTATTGAAGACCAAAGTATATTGGTTTCAGGAAGACAACAAATTACAAAGGGCATTACCTGAAGATGGGCAGATGAATGAAAAACAGAAAAAGCCCCCAAGGAAGAGGGAAACCTCACAACATCTAATTAAGATGCAGAACAGTATCTTCGCCTTCTAATTTTTTTTTTTAGTTTCAGGAAATAAGACAGGAGTCTCATGATTAGAGAGGGTGATGCCAGGACTTGGAAGGTCTGGGCATATACATGGTAGCCAAAAGAGGACCTGCCCTTCCTGCCTTTTCCAGGAGGGAGAACCTGCTGCCCCAGATTGCCCCAAATTGCTGCCAGAGGGCCCAGGAACCTGAGAAGTGACCAGCCCTGAACTCCATTGGCCCAGTGCAAGGGCCTAGGAATCAGACACCACCTGACAGAATCCCAACTCCAACACTTGGATGTGTGCCACATTTCTGAGTGTTACTATCCCAATCTGCAAAATGGGAATCCTATTCTAGAAAATCTAGAATAGAATGGGTGGTTGTGAGGATTAAATGAGATGATATAAAGCATCCAGTTCCGTGGCAGAATGCTCTCAAAAATCAGTAGCTTTCTTCCTTCCCTGCCTTGCTCCCATCCTATTCTACTAGTCCCTCCTTTCCCAGTTATTCATTTGGCCCTACTCAACAGGAAAATCCTCCAGCTCCTCTGAGAGCTATGAGCTGAATTACAGGATGTTTTGTTTCCCAAACAGGGCAGATAGTCATGATATTCAAATATGAGTTTTTTCTGGATTCACATACTGAGCCCAGGATTTAAGAGACACCCAGTAATATATGCCCACTCTTTCACCAAGAGAAAAGTAATTATTCTTAAATGATTGTTGGTGGGATTTTTTAAAACTTTCATCATGTTTAAAATTGCAAATACATACATAGAATGCTATAAAGAACCTGTGTGAGCCCATCTCTAGCTGTAATGGTTATCAACAATTTAGCATTCTTGTTTGTTTTGTCACCCTTCTGCTTTTGTCTGTTTTGCTAGACATCTTATCATGCCACCACAAATACTTCAAGATCTATCACCAACAGATAAGACATTTTCCAACACAATCACAATACCAATTCCAGTTGTCTCAAAATGTCTTATTGTTATTGTTTGCTGGAATCAGGAATCCTCCACATTTGGCTGATATTCCTTAAGTGTGTTAGTCTAGAACACTTCCTGTGGTAGCCAGAAAGTCACATCACCCAGAGCCCCTTCAGGGAGAAATAGTAGCCCAGCTGCAGAGGAGGAGGTCAATAGCCTCCAACTCCAGCTCCTTGGAGACCAGAGTCAGCTGCCCAGAGCCATGTCCCTTGGATCACACCATTGTCCAAGCAGCCCACCTTCAGTGGCTAAGCAAGGCAGGGGTATATAGACCCAGCTTTGTGGTCTGACACAGAACAGACAACTCTGATGGACAAGGTTTGCTCCAGAGTCCCACTGCATTGGCCAAGGCTTTGCCAGTCCTGCAGCTCAGTGGGTCCTTTCCCTCTGCTTCCCGGCTCCTTCCTTTCACAGGTGCTGATCTGATCCTTAGTCAATTAGTTTGCACCAAATTGTGTCTCCTCATCTGCTTCCAGATGATGTAATTTACAACAGTTCTCTTCCATTTCTCATACCTTTTACTAGTTGGAAAACACTAGGACTGACCTTATATTTTAAAATACTCATTTCAGGGGTGCCTGAGTGGCTCAGTCGTTAAGCATCTGCCTTCAGCTCAGGTCATGATCCCAGGTCCCTGGGATTGAGCCCCGCATTGGGCTCCCTGCTCAGCAGGAAGCCTGCTTCTCCCTCTCCCACTCCCCCTGCTTGTGTTCCCTCTCTCGCTGTTTCTCTGTCAAAAAAATAAATTCTTTAAAAAAAATAAAATAAAATACTCATTTCAGCATCTCCACATTCACTTCTCAAAAGCAGAAATCATAAGCCAAACATTTTCATTTCCAGTAAAAGAAATTTCTGAACAACTAAAATCAAAAGAAAGCAAAGAAATACAACATACCTTAACATCCCCACTTTATTTTCTAAAAAAGCTAAACTGTTTCATATACATTAATATTAAATTGCTGACATCACCAAAATCAGCCATGAAAGAAGTCTAAATTCCTATTCAAAGACTATTGTCATCTTTAAGTTATAATAAATTCATCAATCTCTTTCTTTCCTAACATAGCAAGGGCCAACCTAAGTAACCACATTGTGGAGAAACTACATGAGTTAGTACTCAAACCCTGTCCTGGAGTACTTGGTCAGAGAAGTGAAAGATTGGCTGGCCCAAAGCAGTCTCAACTCCAGCCCCCTGGATAAATTATTGGAGCAAGCCACTTTCCCTCCAGAATCTCATTTTACTCACCGATAAATGAGAAAAGATTACACTTCCAACTTCACAGGGCTGTTGTGAGGCCTAAGATAACATGAAGGTGATTTTGATGCTGCGACGTGCCCACAGCTGCAAATCCACTCCTGCTCTCACGTACGGGGTGCTAAGTTGCTGACTCAGGTTGGTGGTGGGAAGCCGCGGCTGCACGTGCAACAGCTCCACCTTCCCCTTCCCTCCAGTGCCTCGGACTCCTGAGCCAGGTGTGTGTGTTTAGGTCCTTGACAAAAACCCTGGGCTCCCATAAAATGCCCACATCACTGGGGACGGTATGTGCTACGGTGAGTGCTGTGAATTGTGTAAGACTGATGAATCACAGACCTGTACCTCTGAAACAAATAATACATTATGTGTTAATAAAAAAAAACTGGGCGGAAAAAAAAAATGTCTACACCATCAAGGTCAGAGACAACAAGAACCAACCAGGTTTCAACAGTGTCCCGTGGGCTCTAGCTCATGTTTATGGGGTCCAGCCTGCCCTTGCTCTCTGCAACTTTCCATCTATCTTTCATTCCTGACTGCCCCATGCACTTCAAGCTCCAGCATCAGATGGACACTGGGATCGCAGCCCTGTAGTGACGATCACTTAACCAGGTCCCAGGACAGCATTAGGCCAAATCCTTCTATATACACCTGCTAGTGGTTCTGCTTCTCTGACCTTGATTGACACACCCACACAATCGTTCCAAACTCACACATGCTTCCCACCTTCCTCAGAAGAGCTTTCCAGGGCATGGCCTCATCTCCTTCCAGCAACTCTCAGGACCTTCCTAGATCTTTGAGCTTTTTCTCTTTGACAGCAACTTTGTCAAAGGCCATAAAACTGCTTAGATTCTTCCACAGGTTTGAAAAAAAAGAAACCCTCCATTTAGATTGGTGTCATTTCAGGAGGTAATTTGTCAGTGTGTACTAAAACTTTTCTAAAGTGAGCTTATCTGCCCTCTCAGCCTACTCTACTTTCAAGATTTGGAAGAAATGATCCTGGATATACACAAAGGATTATCAGGTCAGTTGAATTTATAATGACAAAATATTGGAAAAATATTAATCAGAGGATTGATTAAATTATATTTTAGCCATATGGAGATGATTATGCATCCATTCGAAGAGGTAAAGGAACAAACAAGGATGCCTGGGTGTCTCAGTTAAGCACCTGATTCTTGGTTTTGGCTCAGGTCATGATCTTCCTGGTGTAGGATTGAGCCCTATGTAGGACTCTGTGTTTAGTACAGAGTCTGCTTCAGATTCTCTCTCTCTTCCTCCCCTTTTGCCCCTCCCCCTGCTCACATTTGCTCACACTCACTCTCTGGCACACACATGTGCACACGCACACACCTGTGCTCGCTCTCTCTCTCTCTCAAATAAATAAATCTTTTTTAAAAGGAAGAGGTAAGGGGCGCCTGGGTGGCTCAGTCGTTAGGCGTCTGCCTTCGGCGCAGGTCATGATCCCGGGGTCCTGGGATCGAGCCCCGCATCGGGCTCCCTGCTCCACGGGAAGCCTGCTTCTCCCTCTCCCGCTCCCCCTGCTTGTGTTCCCCCTCTCGCTGTGTCTCTCTCTGTCAAATAAATAAGTAAAATCTTTAAAAAAAAAAAAAAGAGGTAGAGGAACAATAAATTGCAAGGAACAGGCATTTACAGAAGAAACATATACAGCCCATAAAAATATGAAAAATGCTAACTTCGTTAAGATTTAAAGAAATGCAAACCAGGATTACAAGATACAATTTTATATGCATTGGTTTGGCAAAATTTAGAAGTTTGACAATGTGAATCAGTGGCTGGTAGAGTATAAACTGGTACAACCGCTTTGGGAAATTGTTTAGCATTTTCTGGCAAAGTTGAACATTCACATACCTCCCAACTCAGTAATCCTATTCCTGACTGCATATCCCAAAGGAATGTCTGCATTTGACACTTGTGTATGGGAGATACATGTAAGACCACTGGCAACGTCTGCAATAGCAAAAAGCTGACAACTCAAGTGGCCACCAACAGGTAAATAGTTGAGTGAACTGTGGTATATCCACACAATGCAACATATGATTGCAGAGAAAATTAGCTTCTGCTACACATAACATGAATAAATATTAGAAACAATGTTGGGGGGGCGCCTGGGTGGCTCAGTTGGTTAAGCGTCTGCCTTTGGCTCAGGTCATGATCCCAGGGTCCTGGGATCAAGTCCCACATCGGGCTCCCTGCTCAGTGGGGAGTCTGCTTCTTCCTCTCCCCTCTGCTTGTGCTCTCTAAGAAATAAATAAAATCCTAAAAAAAAAAAAAAGAAACAATGTTGAGGGAAAGGCAAGTGACAGACACTGCATATCATTTGTACAGTACTCAAAAAAAAAGTAAAGATAAGTAATACAGTACTTAAGCAGACATAATTAGAGCTAAAACCATATTTTCACTTGAAAAGGTGGGCCTGGGGGTGGGAGGTAGGAGACTGTGATAGGAAAAGGTAGATACAGTTTTTGGTAATATCCTAGTTCTTGGATTGAGTAGTAGACACATAGTATTCATTATATTATTATGCTTGATAATTAATAGCAATATTACATGTAATCTTTTGTATGTATCTTTTTTAATTATAAAAGACGTTTTAATTACAAAAGTCAAGTGAAGTCAATTTTGAGGGTGGCCAGAGGAGGACTGGTTGGAGTGTCACCCGCTGAAGGGTTAACTCTGTTGGCTATATAAAATACTGGACTACTTTTTGTTTCTACAAAAACAGATTTCTATCTGTTTCTTCTAACCCTGTTTCTGCATACTTCATAAGCTCTGCTTCTCAAAAAAAAGTCCTTACAAGGCAGTTGATGCCATGTAAGTTACTTCCTGCCAAGTCTCTGAGTAATGCTTCTGAACAGCTAAATAGCATCATAGTATAGTGGTAATGAGCTCATGTTCTAGAGTTCAAGTGCCTGACTCCAAAGCTGCCATACGAATTGCTGGCTGTGTGACCTAAGGCAAGTTACTTAGTCTCTCAGTCTCACTTTTGTAATCTTTACAATGAGGATGATAATAAGAGCCCTACCATATTTCACTAATGTGAAAATTAAATTATTTCATTGTGGAGTAAAATGCTTGACACCGGATATTCAGTAACAAAATTTTCATTTCTGGCAATATGGTATGCTAGGTACTCACAACAACACTTCTGCAAAAAAAACAAAAAAAAAAATCCCAAAAATATGTCATATAAAATATTTTAAATTTCTTAAAAATGCATCCTAAACTGGCAAGAAAATAAAAACTACTTATGTCCTGATCTTGGCCTCTCGTACCATTCCCCACAAAAAGAAACCAGGGCTCCCTGGAGAAAGAGCTAATTCCAGAGGTAGGACAGGAAGAATACAAAGGGGAGCCTGGAACATTTGATAGTGCTTAAAAACAAGAAAACTTTAAAAGATTATTGGATTCATAACAAAAGGACCCAGGACTCAGCTGGAGGAGATCTCAGTGGCCTAATAGTGATAATATAAGCATCAGAAAGAATAATGATTATAGTTGAATGACATACAATGAATATATAAAAATGCAAAATTCCATTATACTGGAAAAAATACGTAGTTGGAGGAGAGGGGAACTCATTTGTCACCATCCAAAAGAAGCTATTGAACCAAATTCTTATTCTGAAAATTGGTAAAGGGAAAGAATTAAGCATTTATCTTGTCTTTCTAGTTTAAAATGTATTTCAAGAGAACCAAATGGCTCTACTATACAGAAGAATACTAGCTAACAAATACAGAAGAAATAATAGAATTAATTAGAACTCTTCATTTCTCAGCTCTTAATGAAATTATTGATCTGTTTTTTAACAAGTGAATGAATGGATTGTTGACGGACGAAGGCTAAAAGCAGTAGGTGAATGGTTGATGGGAACTGGACATTCATATGGTATTGAAGGAGCACATGGATTCTTCTTGGTCACAAGTGAGGAATGTCACTGTTCATCCAGGAGATCAGGATGCCATCCCCCAGTGTCTCCTGATGATATGTATACAAAGTACACAACACTTCACACATGCAAGCCACAAAACAAAATGTCCACCTCACACCTTTAATTTGGAATAAATTCCAGACCTAAACCTAAAATGATAAAACTTCGAGAAAACATTGGAGAACGCTTTGGGGAGAAGACAAAAGCCACAAACTACTTTAAAAAAATAATAAATTGGACTTCATGAAAATCTAAAACTTATGCTCTTCAGAGGACATCATTAAAAGAAAGAAAAGAAAGCACATGGAGAAAATATTCACAATACACTTATATGACAAAGGACTTGTATCCAGAATATCTAAAGAATTCTTAAAACTCAGTAACAAGAAAATAACCAAATTTTTAAATTTTTTTTAAAGATTTTATTTATTTATTTGACAGAGACACAGCGAGATAGGGAACACAAGCAGGGGGAGTGGGTGAGGGAGAAGCAGGCTTCTCGCGGAGGAGAGAGCCTGATGTGGGGCTCGATCCCAGGACACTGGGATCATGACCTGAGCCAAAGGCAGACTCTTAATGACTGAGCCACCCAGGGCCCCAAAATAACCCAATTTTTTAAATGGGCAAAAGATTTGAAGAGAGCCTTCATAAAAGAAGATACACAAATGATCACTAAGCACCAATGAAAAAAATGCTCAATATCACTGCAAATTAAAATCACAATGATGGGGCGCCTGGGTGGCACAGTCGGTTAAGCCTCTGACTTTGGCTCAGGTCATGATCCCAGGGTTCTGGGATCGAGTCCCACATCAGGCTCCCTGCTTAGCGGGGAGTCTGCTTCTCCCTCTCCCTCTGCCTGCCGCTCCCCTTGCTTGTGCTCTCTCTCTCTCTCTGACAAATAAATAAAAATCTTAAAAAAAAAAAACCCACAATAAGATACCACTGCATACCCACTAATGGCTAAACTGAAGACTGGCAATATGAAGTGTTAGAGAGGATGTGGAGCGACTAGACCTCTCAAACACTGCAGGTAAGGATATAAGACATGACTAACTTGGAAAACATTTTGGCAGTTTTTTAGAAAGTTAGACATATACTCACCCTATGATCCTATAACTCTATTCCTAGGTATTTACCCAAGATAAATGATTTATTCACATAGAGATATGTACATAAATATTCATAGCAGCTTTATTTTTAATAGCTAAAAGCTAAGACAAACCAGTGTCTGTCGTAAGATAAATGGTGTAGGGGAGGGAATACACTTTTGCTCTATCTTCTTAGATTCAGTGACTGGGGCCTGCAAATTAAACCGAAAAAAGAGTGATTAATAGGAGGGGGAAAATAGTTTATTTACATGTGTAATGTATATAAACACAGGAAAACTCAATGATATGTAAGTCAAAGCGATGGTTAGAATTTGAGGCTTATATACCATCTATAAACAAAGGTAATAAATTGCAGAGAAGTAGCAAGACAAGGGAAAAGGAGGTTGTACTTCTAGGGGTGATAAACTGTGGGAAGGTAAACATGTGGGGGAAAAGAATGGAAGATAAAGATTATTTTAGTAAGATGTGTTATGCAGACCCATGTTGGTGTTTTCTGTCTTCAGTGATAAGGGTTGTTCTTCCCCTCTTGGTACAGGAGAGGGCAGAGGGAACACCTTCACAAAGGGAAATCTATGCCCTGCTTTTAGGCAGATAGGTGGGGGAAGGCAAAAGTTCTTTCTGCACCTACTATTTCCCAGTTGCTGTTTCTCAACTGTATTGAAATAACTCTCGTGCCAAAGTGGCATATTTTGAGGTGGCATATTTTGATCCCCTTCAATGTATAAACAAATTGTAGTGAATCTTTACAATGGCATACTTCATCAGTAAAAAGAAACAAACTCCTGATATATCCAACATGGCTGGATCTCAAAAGAGTAGATTCTACTTGACTTCATGTATATGAATCTAGAAAAAGAAAATATCATTTATAATGACAGAAAACAGACCACTGGA